TTGGTACTTCACACTGCTTTCTTCCCATCTTGGTACTTCACACTGCTTTCTTCCTATGTTTAAAATTTTTTTTTCTGAACTTATCTGACTTTTATTGATTTTACAAATTTACATCTTTTGAAATAGTTGAATGGCAGATATTAATTTATTTACACTAAATGACTTGCTAATTGCTAAGTATCATAAGGAAAAGTTGCAAATACATTACAAAGTTAGTTTAAAAGAAAACTTAAATTTTAACTATCTGGTACTTAGGTGCAGTAAGTTTAATTTTAACTATCTGGTACTTAGGTGCAGTAAGTTGAATTTTAACTATCTGGTACTTAGGTGCAGTAAGTTTGCTTACGAAGATATTAAAGAAGTACACAAACGAAGATATCTGCTTCAGGTAAGAAGATTCTTTGTATTTTTATTTTTACATCAAGGATGTATTGTTTGTTTACTGCTATCAAGGATGTATTGTTTGTTTACTGCTATCAAGGATGTATTGTTTGTTTTGTTTAATTTTTCTCCATTCAACATCTTTACTTGGCTTCGGGACACTGGTGACATACAGATATAATTACTAGTGATGTTTCATTCCCTTCTATACAATTCCTGCATATTTTTAATTGAGAACATAGCTGTTCATAGCAATTCATGATAAATACTTTTGAAGTTTATTGCAATAAAAATGTTTTTCATACGGTATGAGTTTGTGTAAGAACTGAATTGAAGTTTGGTAAATTTTATGGAGGTTAAGGAAAAAATTATTAGGTTGTAAGTAAGTTAAGTTCGTTTAAAAATAACTGATTTTTGTTTGCAGCCAATTGCCCTTGAAGTATTTTCAGCAGATGGAAGAAATCACCTTTTAGCATTTCCTCGAAAAGTTAGGAACAAAGTGTATGCAAGGTATGAATCTTTTTTTTTTTCCATCTGGTGAGATTAAAAATAATACTCAGTTGTGCTGTCTTCTTCATTTGGAGATAAATTAAATGGAAGAGAAATGAGTGACGGAACCACATGGAATAGTTTCCTTGGATTTTAAGAATTGTTGGTTTTATTTTCAAAATATATTGACTTTGTTACAGGTACTATAAGTTTTCTCTTTATTATTCTTAGTATACCAAAAGATAAGGCCTAACTTGGACTTTTTTGTCTATTTTAGTATCAGTAGGTATATGATAAGTTTTTTATAAGATGAGCTGTTTTTAAAGGATAACGGTAGCACCCCCATTATCTTTTATCATTGTCAGGTTTTAAAGTCTGCACAGCTGATCTCTGAAACATTCACAGTTTCAATTTTGGTGCAAGAAGTATTGTATATTAAGCAACAGTAGTGAAGAAATCCTTCTTAAAAAATCATAGTTACCCAGTCAAGGACTTGACTTGGCAGCAATATTGGTGTTGTGCTGTTTAAAAAAACTGCCATATACTCTTCATCTGTGGTTCATGCTGTGAATGTCTTAGTTTCTTAACTTTTTCATCTGCTGTTCAAGTTTGTATTGATGAATCCAATCCCCAAATGGTGCACAAATCAAAATAAATAACAGTCAAATTAGATAAGGTAATGAATAGTCAGGAAAAATGCCTTGAATATTGTTGAGCAAGAAATTTAGAACTGCTGAATAGTGTACTTGGTATTGACGAGTAAATGTAGACATATTTAAATGAAATACATTATAATACATTTCTTGAATGTTTTATATTTTATGCTAATGGCAATATTTAACTGTTTATACTACTGGAACATTTCTTTATAGAAACCAGATATTTTAAAGTACACGTACATCTATATACCGGTAATACTGTGTCATTCTTTATAGAACCTGGTATCTAGAAGTACATGTACATCTATATACCGGTAATACTGTGTCATTCTTTATAGAACCTGGTATCTAGAAGTACATGTACATCCATATACCGGTAATACTGTGTCATTACAAACTGTTTTTTCCTAATATTTCAGGTTTATGACTGTTGCCACTTCAATTACTGACAGTGCTCAAGAGTCATTGGCAGGACAGAGGAGAGGAGCAAGTGTAGAATCCAGGTAAATCCAGTTTTAATTTTGTGTGAGAATTATATGTTGAAAGAAATATTATATCTACCATAGATATAAGATCTGGAGTTTGACTCTTATGAATGCTAGGTAATGTAACTTACAGGAAATCCATGCAGGTTTGAATTCAGATCACTGAGTTAGCTATTAAAATTAGCATTAGAGGGAAAACAGAGAAGTTAATGTGATATTCAGTGTAAATATTTTTTTTTTTTACTTTCGAACATCTGGTAACTTTGACACGTGATTTAATACCTTTGCATTTCCACTTCAATTAAATTCATACACCTGAATCTTAAACTTTGAAACACTTTAGGAGAAAAAAGCAAGAAATATAAATAGACTAAATAAATATACCGGTAATACTGTGTCATTCTTTATAGAAACCAGATATTTTAAAGTACACGTACATCCATATACATCTTACACATTTAGTTGGTGTGTTAAGATTGTATCTTGGAAGTTTATTAAAATAACATTCCTTACCTTTATCAGTATAGTATTATTTAAATAGTATTTGTAACTAATGACATTTTAAACTTGTTAGCTTTAATTCCTAAATCTGAATACATTAGGGGGTAAAAACAGTATTGAAATATTAATTGAAACTAAATAAATTGGGAATAAAATGCAAATATTAGGGAATTGTTCCCTCCTTTTGTATGAAAATTAACTGCATCAGACTACTAGGTGAAAAGAAATAAAGTGAAAATAAGAAGAGCTGACGACTAGAGAAAACTACGAAACTGGTTCTGTTAAGAGCAAGTAATTTTTAATAACTGTAAAAGTTGAAGGATAGTATAAAAAATTGTCATCTCAAAAAAAATAAATAAATATGTATATATATATATATATATATATATATGTACTCTTTTGTCAAGGTCTGCTTTGTTCTTATACTACATTGTTTTGTTTTTAAAATAATTATTTATTTACATTGTGCCTCATATTTGGTGTCGGTAGGTGGCAAAATAGTATGATTTGATAGACGGAAGCTTTAAACTAGGATGTAGTTTTGAGATAATACCAATTTTATAACATTGTTTACAATTTACATTTTGTTAAGAGTTTTTAAATATCAAATAAATCTTTATCTCACAGTGCTAATTTGCTGAGCAGTTTAATCGGAGAAACTTCTGTTACCCAACGTTGGGTGGTAAGTTCGTTTTTGTGTATTCTTGCACTGTGAAGGAGTAACTTAAATAAAGAAATTTGCTTTTAAAAATAAGTAAATATTTGGGGTCGTCACTGTAGGTAATTTTGTATGTTAGGTATCATGATACATTACAGCAGGTAATGCTTGTTTTTAATTTCCAAGCTGATCTATACTGGAAAAATACAACTTTGTAATGCCAACTAGCGGTTTACACTAATTAAACAGGACCTCTTCAACATTTATCATCTTCTAAAAAATATCGAATAAACACAGTTTTGTCTTGTGGCTGTCAGTTCTCAATTTTTTTGGAATACACACATCTTGTGTCTAATGTAATCTTTACAGCACCAAATCATCACTATTCCATACATGACACATTTTATACTTGTAGTACTGTATTCTCAACTGTTGAGTTTCTCAAGTGTCTGTTACACTTATTAGAAGAAGTAAGTACCAGTGGAGTATGTTTCTCCTCATGGTACAGGTGGTACTCTCCCAAACTTCACATGTTGTAACACATATAGTGTTGGACATTTGTATGTGATTGTTTTCTTTTCATTCAATGGTGCTGAAATATTGAAGGGGAAGATATATGACAGTCACTTTCCATTTTACACAAGGACAATTACTAATGACAGCTAGACTACATTACCTTACCTCCAAACAGTTATTAATGCTACTGGACAACACCATCTTACCTCCAGACAGTCTCTAATGGTTACTGGACAACACCATCTTACCTCCAGACAGTCTCTAATGGTTACTGGACAACACCATCTTACCTCCAGACAGTCTCTAATGGTTACTGGACAACACCATCTTACCTCCAGACAGTCTCTAATGGTTACTGGACAACACCATCTTACCTCCAGACAGTCCCTAATGGTTACTGGACAACACCATCTTACCTCCAGACAGTCTCTAATGGTTACTAAGCAGCAACCGTCTTACCTCCAGACAGTCTCTAATGTTTACTAAGCAGCACCGTCTTACCTCCAGACAGTCTCTAATGTTTACTAAGCAGCACCGTCTTACCTCCAGACAGTCTCTAATGTTTACTAAGCAGCACCGTCTTACCTCCAGACAGTCTCTAATGGTTACTGGACAACACCATCTTACTTCCAGACAGTCTCTAATGTTTACTGGATTACACTGTCTTACCTCCAGACAGTCTCTAATGTTTACTAAGCAACACCATCTTACTTCTAGACAGTCTCTAATGGTTACTGGATAACACTGTCTTACCTCCAGACAGTCTCTAATGGTTACAGAACAGCACCATCTTACCCCCAGACAATTACTAAAGACCATTGTTCAAAATCATCTTGAGTTTCTGGACACACGCTACATAAAAAAATTGTAAAAAATCCAAAATACTGTGTCCAGAAACTCGTGCTACATAAAAAAATTTAAAAAAATCCAAAATACTATGAGTTTCTGGACACACAGTATTTTGGATCTTTTAGAAAAAATAATTTTTTGTAAAATCTTAAAGATAATAATACTTGAAACCCTTTTTTCCCACCAAGTGTATAAAAACGTGCGTAGAGGTATTACCTCTTTATAAGGGTCTTTGTCCTTTTCAGCGTGGCGAAATCACCAATTTTCAGTATCTCATGCACTTAAACACCTTAGCTGGGCGCTCGTACAATGATCTGATGCAGTATCCTGTATTTCCTTGGGTGTTGGCAGACTATGAATCTGAGGTAAGCACTAAGTAACAGTAACTTTTGTAGGTTGTTTAAGGTGAACGGTAAGTTATGTTAGTCAGGTGTATAATCGTCATCATATTCTTGAATACACTATGAAGTTTACAGGTTTAATTTTGGAATGTGAACTTGATATTATTGTATAACAAGAGGTTTTTGAGTGAACCTTTTCAAAATTATGCAGATTTCTTCGTGTAAAGTAATCTTATAGCATTTTTTTTTGTCACGAGTTCTATTACAGCTGTTTGTATGTTCAGATGTAAACAAAAGCTAAGAATATAATACCAGTATAATTTTCAACAATGTCTGTTACTTAGATAACAAAACCTATACCATGACTGGCTGAGCACTGCCATATTGAGTCTTAAAAGTTTATCAAGCTCAGTTAACCTAGGTTGATTGTAAAGAACTGGATCTAGGAAAATTTTAATATATCTTTAGACAGGGAAGGGGGGGGGGGAGTGGTGTTTCATTTGCATTTATTTACCCATTAAAAGTGTTTGAATAGTCAGCCTATCAAACTGTATCAGGTTTTCTTTAGTTCCAACTGTTGTAAGTTACAGTAGGAAATCTTGTTAGAGTTCAAAATATGTCGTTGACTTTATTAGGCTTAGGTTGTCTGATACTCCGTATTTGAAATGCTTTCTCAGCTGCTCAAGGTTGTTTGAATTTTACTTTTAAAATGTTGATTTGTGTTTCAGATTTTGGTTGTATTTACTCAAAACGAGACAAAAGCTTATTTAAGCAATTGTTAGTTAATATATGTATGATGTCAGAAAAACACATAGGTTCAAAAAAAGTCTTAATATAAAATGATATTTATCGTTTTAGTTAATATATGAATATTTTTATTATATTTACATGTTTTTGTAGGAACTGGATTTGCATATCAGCAAGACATTCAGAGATTTTTCTAAGCCAATGGGAGCACAGACACCTGATAGGCTCGAGCAGTTCAAGAAACGATACAGAGAATGGGATGATCCTCATGGTGAGATTATTTAGATGAAGACCAATAAAACCATTATGATGTTTTATTGATATATGTGAGAGTTATTTTCTTGAGTTTTATGCTTTTATTAAGAAACAATACAGAGAATGGGATGATCCTCATGGTGAGGTTATTTAAATGAAGACCAATAAAACCATTATGATGTTTTATTAATATATGTGAGAGTTACTTTCATGAGTTTTGTGCTTTTATTAAGTCGTGTAAGCTGTTAAAATTTGTGTCGTTTCTTCTGTAGATGTTACAGGGTATATGTTGAGATGTTTTTAAGAGGTACTTGTATATCTAACTTTTGAAGTAAAGTACTTGTATGTGAAGATTTTAGGGGCTTCTTTGACTAACAAGACCAAATGAGAAATACAAACAAAACTTTTATAAGTTGTCATATTCCCTGAAGGACATTTTAGACAGTAGTTCAGGTTAATTTATTTCAATAAGAAATTGCATTTGTTACAATTGACCCAGGAACAACATTTCAAAACACCTGTGGTAAAGAAGGGTAACGTCCAAAAACCCTAAAAGATTGATCAGCATAACCATTCTGCATAGCGACAGGAATGTCCAAAACGTACAAGTAAAGCAAAATATTTGTTTATTTCTAACACTCAAAACTTGATTGTTTCCTAGCCGTATCTACTTTTATACAAGACAGTTTGCTAATCGTATTTCTTAAATTTATTTATGTTATACTATTGTTGTAGTACCGGTTTAGAGGCTTCAAAGAAAGAAGTATTGTGCTAAGCTGTTTCCTTGAAACTTGTCTATGTAAGGAATTCAGAATGTGTAGTAGGATTGGTCTTTCAGAACTATTTATGTCCATTGATCTTTAGATTAATTGGCATGTGCTGTATCTTAACATTAGGACTGCCAGTTTTTTCACATTAAGAAAATCTTATAACCTGAAAAACATCAGTAAAGATAGTGAACATATAAATATTACATCATTTTAACTGTTTTCCAAGTTGGAATGAAGGTTATTTTGTATATAGAGTTTTTTTTTTATGCTTGTTTGTGAAATTCACTGTTCATGTTATATTTATTCAATGTTTATATGTCAAAATAAATAAAACTGATATGAATTGTAAAACTTATTTTTATACCAGGTGAAACACCACCTTATCATTATGGGACTTTCTATTCCTCTGCTATGATTGTAGCCTCCTACCTGCTTCGTATGGAACCTTTCACTCAACATTTCCTTAGGCTTCAGGTATGATTCAATGTACTCGTAAAGTCATCATTTAATTTTTTAAGGAAAAGTTCTTAATCATACAGTAGGTAGTGACCACATTTTTATATTCAGGTTTTTACATTTTTTAATTTTTTGCCTTGTTTTTGTTCCTAAATAAATTTTTAATCTTTATTCATTAATTGCTTCATCATTTTATTTTGTTTTACAGATAATCAATTTAAGTGATGCTCACAGCCCCAATATCTATATTTCTTGAACTTCACCTCAGTTGTAGCAACTTTCATTGTTACCAATGGGTCTAATATTTGTGACTAAAATGACATAAACTGCACATAATGTTTTTTTTCATATTTCTCTTAATTTATCCATTTTTGTATTCAAAATCACCATCCAAGAGGTCTTTCGTTCAATACCAGAACTCATCATTTGGGCTGGGTGATATGAGACGAAAGATTCTTTGAAATGTTATTTACCTATGCAGTACAATACTTTCAGATTTACGGCTTAGCGCCTGCGATTTGTGATTTATATCACAAGTTTTAGGGCCGCTGTCAGTCTTTAGTATTTAAACTGTAATCTTCATTATTAGCAGTACACTTTAAGTTGATTATGACCTTTACTATAACCTTACCATCATAATGACCTTCTCTATTATCTAAACTTATGATTACAACCTTTATTATACCTTCATCATATTCATAACAATGATCACTGTTATCTGTAGATATTATCAATATGTTTTTTATATCTTTCCATATTAGTTATCAGTATCAACCTTAACAGTTGTTTTATGTCTACACCCTACTTCTATGGATATTAACTCTTTCAGGATGGGCATCATTTTGTGTACATGTCAGGAGGTTTTAGTGATTTGCATTCAAAATTTAAATAAACTACTTTATCATGGTATACCAATAAATTTGGGAATAAAAACGTTGCTAATAATCCAAATTTTATTAGTATATAAGTTTTAAGTTCTTAATCTTATAAGGCAATTAAAAAAAAATCATGAATGAGAATTGTAACATTTTCTCTCTAAGCATCTCCTCTTCTCTAATTTATTTACCACCCCTCCAAGGAGTATGAAATATAATGTAAATTACTCATTATAATGTTGTCATTGCTTGGACAAAGCATAATTTTTATAGCCTTCAATCTTATTTAGTTACAGAGCCATCAAATAGAAAATCAGAGCCATCGTGCCATGCCCATGTCACATCCTCTTTCAGAATTTGTCAGTAGTTCTCTTTCATGTTTAATACTATATTATTTATAACCAGTAGAAAGCCAGAATTTTAATCTATCAAATGACGTACAATACTACATTTTTTTCTGTCCAGAGAATTCTCTATTTTGCTTCCAGTTCAACCTTTATTGCCATGGGAAACACGAACATTGATGAGCTTAGCTCAATTTTTTAAATTGTACTCTTGGCACATAGCTAGAAAGCCAGACAAATTGTGATAGTTATGCTTTTCGTATGTTATTATTCTGTGTTCTTTGGCGCATTGTTTAATTAATTAAAAATGTATTTAGTGCAGTATTACCATTAGTATAAAAAAGAAGGGTTAAGTGTCCTTGACACTCTACAGCAAAAAAAAAAATAAGACTCGGATAAGTAGTTTATTTCATGTTTATTTACTTATTAATATAAAAGTAACTAAAATGTAAAAATTAGAAACTTTTTAGGTTAGATTAGGTAAAATAAATTTTACACGAGGTATGCTCTTGAACAACTTGTGAGTAGCTAGTGCATTATGTAATTCAATAAAGTAGCATGAACCACATGTTCATTTGCCCTGTGATTTACAAATTTTATGGCAGGAATATTAATTTAGACATGGCTTAAAGGGCAATAAAATTTAAGTATAAACAGATGCATACTGTTAAAAGTTTAAAACTATTTAGGATAAACTAATGCAGTTTCATGTTACAATTTGTTATTCTAGAGAGATAAAAGGGTAATTTAGATTTCTTTATTTCTTTTTTGGTGGTTTACAGAGTTAGGGTAGGGGAATAACACATAAAATATAAAGTTTTAATGAAAAAATAACATTTTATAATCATTTAGGAGGTTTTAGAGATTACACAAATGAATAAAAGTATTTTTAATCTTAACATGAAAATCACTTTGCACTTGGACTAGTAAAGAAAACTACATGATATATTTATAGACAAATTGTTATTAAAAACTTAACTAAAAATCAAATTTTTTGTTTTCAAAATTCTTGTGATGTTTACTGAAAGTTTGCCAAATTTTGTATTTCTCATAGGGTGGACACTTTGATTTAGCTGATCGAATGTTTCACAGTATAAAAGATGCTTGGCTGTCGGCAGCAAAACACAATATGGCTGATGTGAAAGAATTAATTCCCGAGTTTTTTTATCTTCCCGAGTTCCTATTAAACTCTAACAAATTTGATTTTGGTAAGTGGTCTTCACATAATAAGATCATTATACAATATCTTGTATCTAATCTCTTACTTATTTTAAAAAGTGACAAAATTAACTAGAATTGTTTTAGAAGCTTCTCTTATAGTAAGTATTTGATTCTGTTACTGTATCAGTTTATGTATATATGTGAAATACAGATTTATTATTTTTTGTGTTTTTGTTGTTCGGGTTCTTATGTTTTTGATATTACTATGAACAGCATCTGAAACTGGTAAGAAATAATATTTGATATATATTTGTAGAATTTTATTATATATATATTTTATATATAAATAGAAAAATGCGAAGGTGATAAAATATATAGAAATTAGTATGTTAGTGATAAATCACCTTAAAAAACTATGTTTGTAGTTTATTTTCTTGGCAATGTTTTGAGCAAATGCTCTTTTTTTAGGCAGAAACAAGCCTGTCGGTTAATGACAACAACAAGAACATTCCTTTCAAAATACATGATATGCGTGTGATTTTTTGCCATGTTTGCTTTAAAGCAGCACCACATCTGACACTTCAACACAATTTTAGGATTACATATTTTTATACAGTAGGATGTCATGTTTACATTTTAAGTTATTTTCTTTAAGATGTTTCTAAACAAGATATCAGTGCACAAAAACGGACTTAACGTATTTGTAGTGTGGGAGTTCATTAGTGTTATGTTTTGTTGTGTGACTAGTGATGAAATTCTTCAGGTTAAGAGTAGTTCTTTACCCAGCATTAGAAAAGTAGGGTCAAGAGAAAGATTAGCAAATTGAAGAAACATCAAATACCTTGGTGTGAAACTGGTCTTAGCCAGTAAATATTTTCAAATAACAATTTAACGACCACTTTTGCCAGACGAAATCTGAAAAGTTCTTGTAAAATCAACATTTGAGGATTGGTCATCATAGCTGAAATACTTGAGCACACAAATGATTAATGTCTGAGTCTGAGGGTATAAACAAATGTACATGTTGGTAGAGGAAGCATTAATGGAGAAACTTTATTATAAGAAAGAGACTGAAATGTATTAGAAATTAATTTCTGAGACGATGATTGATCAAATGGGTGACAAAATTAATAGTTAGTGCTCCAGGATAATAGTACTCCTATTAAAAACTTTTGTATAGTAACTGTCACATGTTCTTGTGAAGAATTCCATGTGCTACATTATGCATCATCTCACATCAGGAAAAACCGCTTTAATCCATTAAAATAAAGTATTGATGTATGATCACCAGCAATGCTTACTTAGCAAGACATACAAGCTTATGTTAAACCAACTAGTTAGTTGATGAGATAGTTAGCTCATCAACTTAACAAGTTAGCTCATCAAATCAGAACCTCATGTCTGCACCAGCGTGAAGTAGTAGTAGTAGATGAGTTACACCCTGAATCAATGTTCAGTTTGACCCTGAGGTTATTTTGTATTCTTATAAGCTATTTTTTAAAGGTGGAAGCTAAGTTAAAATAAAAATCGATATTGATGAGCAAATGAAGTTATATTGGAAGAAAGTTTTGTGTAATGGCAAACAATAATTTTTAATTCACTAATTATTCAAAGCCAAATACTGAGTTAATGTGCATTTCGTCTATTTTAAAGAGTTTGATAACCAACTGTATTCATGTTGTTAAAATGTTAAATAAGATTTGTTTCGTTCTTTTACAAACCCTGTCTCCTTATTTCTCACAAACCTTCTTCAGTTAGCAGCCTATGTAAAAATTTACTGCAACTATCTGGTAAAATGTCCTGTGAATTACTGATTTCCAGTTTGTGTTCTGTGGTGTGATTAGTGAAGTACTGATTTCTGGTTTGTGTTGTTTGGTGTGATTAGTGGAGTACTTATTTCTGGTTTGTGTTGTGTGGTGTGATTAGTGAAGTACTTATTTCTGGTTTGTGTTGTGTGGTGTGATTAGTGAAGTACTCATTTCTGGTTTGTGTTGTGTGGTGTGATTAGTGAAGTACT